GGCCAGGCAATTGAGGGCATACTTTTAGTCCATAAGCGGGCAAAGGAATCCTCACAATGAGGACGAGCAGCTATTTTGGCTCACTGTGGTGCTCTGAAGCGTAAACGGGAGTGATGCTCCACATCACCAATAACCAAATGTGTGTCTTTTTTAGCAAAGACTACCGGACGCATGGAATTTACTTACTATCTAACTAAGCAAAGATATGATTAAGTGAGATTGATCATATCTCACTTGTCAGTAGAAGGGCTCTTTCTGATATCCATGGGTTGTTTCTTTTTTTTTCCCCCTTTTTTCGAGTTGCATCATTTCTTGAGGTCACAAACTTCTTTTTTCTGTATCCATGTCGTTCATGCTTTATAAGCTCCTAGTTACTATGTGAAACCAATTTCTTTTTGTTCAGTCAAGGGCTCTGACTAGTCCACCGGACAATGACTCTTATTTCTTGCTTCTTATCGTTTTACCTGTCATATCATCCATACCTTCCTATTTTTTTTTTTTGTGATTTTCAAATTGCTATACTTTGATAGCTGTTTATACAGGGCTAGATTGAATACAAACCATAAATTCCTTACTACAAAGCAAACTTTTTTTCCTGGTTCTTTATCTGGCAGCCATCTGATCAGGTTGTTTAGACACCTACAGGTCTCAGTGGAAATATACAATATTGGAGGAGAGGATTTACTATGCTTAGATATTTCTATATGATTTCAATACATTAAGACAATTTCTTGGGTGTGAGACATCAGAAGTCGTAAAGACCGTCTTGTGAGTGACTGAAGCTAAGAAACTGTGGTTAGAAGGATCTTCTCTTGCAGAATGTTTGAGGGCTATATGTTATGGTCTTTTTGCTGGTGATCACATCAGCCATCAGTAGTAGCAAAACACAATGGGCTTTTTAGGAGCCTTGGTCTAAGCCTAGCACTTCTTCCATCAACTTTGTTCGGTGTCATTGACTTTGAGTGTTGTCTTGTTCTCGTTTCCAGTCTTGCAATGTATATCGTACTCCAGGCTGGTTTTGCACCTTATCATATGAGAAACATGTTCTTTGTTATCGGTTCTCACTGGTACAGTTTAAAGCAGTGCTGTAAAAACCTGAGAAATATCAAATCTAATTATTTTAGCTACTTGACTGAAGTAATGCAGAACTTGTATAATGGGGTACTGCTAAGCAGATGTCTGTAATCTGTCAAAGGACCAAAGAAATTCTGCAAAAGGCACTGGCTATATTGTACAGAGAAGAATGGGGAGGCAGTGAAATGTTTAAACGTAGTATAAACTGAACATATGATGCTGTAAGTGATTGGTCTTGTGTACTTATTTCTGCATGATAGCTGCTTGTGAGCAGGTGATAAGCAATAAGAGAATGTATTAAATGTATATTAAAGGAGAGATTCTTTGGGTTCAGGACGCTGATTAGGTAGATGTCACTGAGGACTATTTCATCCTCAATGCAGTCTTACAGTTCTACCTTGCACACTATCCCAAATTAAGAAACTTGTCCAAAGAATTCAGTGGTGAACTGAATTGTGTGGATAGCTAAAGCTGAGGAGGTATTAGAAATACTCTGGAGGAGTCACCTAGTTAATGGGTGGACAACTGCAATAATGTTTTGGGATTCCTGGAGGAAAAGTCTGTAGTGAAAAGGCTAACCAAGGACATAGTCTGGGTCTGAGCGCTGACCCATGATTGTCCTACTGTTTGATAGTTAGCATGTTCACTAGCATGGTGCTGTATTGTGCCAACTGACATGTTCCAGAAAAAGCCTGGACATGATTTGGGGAATGCTATGTGCAAGGGATTATTCCTAATAGGAAGTATAGACAGAATAGACTGTTTTGGTGAGAGAAGAAATTTTAGCCATGTGGACATAGAAAACATTCTACGCCACTTGACCTTAAAGCCGGAGAATGAATCCTGGACCACTTGTTTAATCTACTAGTATAGGAATAGCCTGAGGTATTTGGAGAGCCAGCAGTCCCTGGAAGGTGATCGTAGTCAGTGTGACAGAGTGACCCGTGGTCTGTGGGAGGAGCAAACCATCCAACACCCAGAACACAATTTGGTGTCAAAGGCAGCAGCTGATCCTCAGCTAGTAAAGTTGGTGTAATTGAAATGAAGACCTTTCCCTTTTTACTGGAGATGACAATTTGACCTGCGATGTTTTTATGCTCCTTATTGTCATAAAGTTCATGCCTCAGCCTCCTTCTGCAAGCATTGTAATTGAAAACTATACATGTTTGAAAAAAGTTCTTACATACCTTACTCATCTGAACAGTTTGTCCTGACTTCAATGGGACTGTTCATGGGAGTAAGAATTGGAGTGGATGTGTGCTTTGAAACAGTTCTATATCGCTCTAATCTTGTTTTGTCAAATGTTGTTTGATGAAGCTTGGAAGTCATTTTGGCAGATATTTATAGGAAAAAAACCCACCATTTTTAAAAGGTGACTGACTGTTCCCTTTTGGATTTTATTTATATGCAAACTAAAATATAGATGTTTGTGAAACTGAATCTTTTCATACATTTCCCTCCGATTTGCCATCTTTTGTTGTATTTTTGTATTTCCCTTCTCGATAACTTTTTTTAGAGTATTTTTGTAAGCGTTCACAAATTTCTTGTGTTCTTTTAAGCCAAGAATTTACATAAAAGCAAAACAGTTGTATAAAAGGCTATTTTAGATAGACATTAGTAAAGTAATGAGTCAGGGAACAGTTACCTAATTAGCTAAGGACTTATTATCTAACACAAGAAGAAATTCTCCTTTGGGAAGATAATTGATTTTTTACTCATACAATGCTTCAGGTATAAATACTGAATCTGAATAATAATAAAAAAATATGTAATCCTCATTGCTGGGGAGGCTATTTAGACTTTTACAGTACAACAGCATATGTGTTGGCTTCTGCCTTTTACCTGTATATTGTATCACATTTGCACCTCTCTGCCCAAGATGAATTGAGGGCAGTACTATATATACTACATCTATGATATAACTTTAGAAAACCTTTATGAGAATTTGCTTGTTAAAAGCCTTTTTAGACATGCTTAATCAGTCCCTGAAACAGAAGAATAAAACAGCTGCCAAATCATGTCAGCAATCCACTTAAAAAAAGGATCCTGTCTCTCATAGCCAATTAGAAAAGACCCAAAATGCTGCAAAATTGACAGTTACAATGAACTCACCTGGTTATGAGGGCCCCACTAGCACCCATTTCATATCCTGAAGCATGATTTAAGTCACATAGAGGTAAAGGGAAAGGTAGCAGTAGGCAGAGATGATTTCTGTGGATTATCTCACTTTCCATATTACTAAGCAAACTTCTTTGGAAACTTGCAGAGCCTCTGAACCAGCATAAGTTCTTTGATTCATGTGTCTGTATTACAGAGACCGAATTTGCATTGATCATAAGGAAAAAAGCTTTTTTCTGTGCGGGTATCTGAGCACTGGAACAGGTTGCACAATGGTGGAGTCCTTGGAAATTTTCAAAAACCATCTGCATAGGGTCCTGAGCAGGGTACTCCAGGTGACCCTGCTTGAGCAGGGGTTTGGACTATCTGATCTCTAAAGGTTCCTTCTCACCTCAACTGTTCTATGATTCCACAAAATTCATCTTGCATTTCGTATATTTGTACAACTGGCTGTCATTCCTTGTTTTGCAGATTAATAGCATACCAGCAGTGCAACAACTGTTTTGCAAAGAAAACATCAAACCAGTGATAAATAAAAGACTATTCACAGTAGTTATCTGTTTAACGGTAGACAAGATTAAGTACACAATAGGAAACAACAGTGGATCTCGGAAGATCACTTGATTGTTAAAGAAGTTCTGAAGTTGACATTTATACAGCATCCAGCACAGCAGTGATTCCACCCACTATAAGAATACAAAAGACAGCCGCAGTCAGAATTATTCCACTGAAAGCAAAAAGCTGTATTTTTGTTGTTAGTTTCCCTGAACAATTTATGGAAGATACGAAAATCAACAGTTAAGTAAGTGAGGGAAAACAATACTATTTTGGACTTAGAATGGTGCTTTCAATGACTGGGAATATAGCTAATAATATCTGTCTTTGGTAGCTGAATAGTGAAATCCTAGCTGGAAGAAATAAGATTCCCCTGCTACAGTAAACAATCTAATAGCTATTTTTTCTGCATTATTTAATACTGAAGGGCTAAAATCATTAACTGGTACCACTGATCTAAAGCAGCAGTACGCGATAGGAGGATGGTATCTATCTGAGAAGACATTAGTGTGAGGGGAAGAGAATACCTGTAAGACACTTACTCAGTGGATGCAGAAAACTGCCATGAATCATTTTATATCAGCATACGAGAAATTTCAAAGCCATATATACACACCTGTATATAAAGAAACAGATATATTTCTGCCTTAAAATGTGTGTTCGTTTGTGAAGAAAAGTGACAAAAACTCCTTTTAGGAGTTTAGTGCTCTTTATTTTATATGGCATCCCATGAAGCGTTTCAACTCAGAATTCCTGGACAGTTCCGAGTTTCACTTTGAATTCCATGAGAAATCAATAGCCAAAAGCTGGAAGAAGCTTTTTACTAGCTTCTTTTTTTGCTACACTTGAACCTTAAAGACTGTGGGGTGAAGCAGCAGAAAAGAAATGAAGATCCATTATTGCTGTCTTCCGGGATGAACATATTGTACATATCTGGAATATGAAAATACTTTACATATCTGTAAAAAGGTGCTAAAATGAAAGGCCTGCTTATAACTCAAGGCCTGATACTTATTTTAAATGTTCCCTGGTTTATCAGAATCATACTTGTCTGCTTCATCAGTGTTCTGGAATGAGCCTTCTTTAGTGTTTGCTGACCATAATAAATAATTGAAAAATAGATTTACCGTTTTCCACAATTAGTTATTTCTTTTCTTCTTTTCTTATCTTTTTTTTTTCCTTTCTTTTTCTTTCTTTCTTTCTTTTTTTTTTTTTTTGCCCAAGTTTTTTAATATTCTGGATCTTTCTTTCAGGTTGGTTGTTACTTGAAGACTCCTAAATACCCAATTTGGTTGGTATGCAGTGAAAGCCACTTCAGTGTGCTTTTTTGTTTGGAAAAGAATGTACTAGGTGACTGGAAAACAGAACAGAGATTTGATCTATATTATTATGATGGCTTAGCCAACCAGGAAGAAGAGATACGGTTAACAGTTGGTATGTACAACACATTACTTGTGCTTTTCATCTCTGGTTGTGGCAACAGCACCACATCAGAAAGAAGAATGTGCTAATACAAAAGGGAACAAGTTCATGATGTCTCAGGTGTTAAAATGATTATTTATGTGCCTGTTTCCTAATTTCCATAACTAGTTTTGATGATTAATTTGAAATAAAGTTTCACATGGAAATTTTGAGAATAAGGTCTTCCAGATGTTAAAAGTGAGCATGTGCTACTTTACAGACTGCTAAATCTTTCAGGGATGCTGATTTTCAAGGAAATCCTATTCATACTTAGAGGGCTATAAAGCATATTTAATACTCCCATTCTTCCACACCTCTAATAATTACCAAAAAATGTACCTTTTTTAAGGCTCATAATTTTTTGAAACTTGCCTTTTAGTGTGAACTTCTCAATTATATATTGTCAATGTGAGAAAAATAATCTCTTTCCTGGTTTTTTGCTTTGGAGGTGAGTGCATGACTGCATTTTCACTATTTTGTAATGACTCAAGAGCATCCCTAATTATTCACTGTTACTGTAAATAAAGAGGGGGATTTCCTTGAGGTAAGGGAATTATTTACATGTAAGTAAGTGACACATATAATACGATTCAGCAGAGGACTAGAGACATCGAGACACGTTTGTTCTATTCTGTTCTGTCATGTAACATACAGTCCTGAGCAGGGTTCCTCGTCTATATTTTCCTCATTAATATATCAGGAACATTTCCAAAATCCAGACTTAACAAGCAATCTGAAATCCCTGGATAAGAAAGTGGTCAGAGTTTGTGTATATTATTTCTTTACTATTCAACCTGTTTTGGCATGTATTTCTCCTCAAGGATTTAAACTTGCATTGATAGGTAGACATAGTCTTGTTGTATAGCCTCTTCCAGGGATGTGCCCTAGTCAATCTTCTGTTATCTGCAAAATTCTCTAAAAGCCTGTAAAAGCCAAATAGTTTCCTCATTCCAGGGAAAAGCTTTTCTAGTTCTGGCTGCACAGTAATCCTCTGTTAGGTCTGAAGAAAAACTGAAATTCCTTTAAATCTTAAAGGTGACATCTAAACCACGCAGCACAGTACCAGGTGGAAATGCCATGATGCTAAGTATTACTGGTATTTCCATATGGAAATACCAGCAAGCTCTAACGATTAGGCAGCATTATACAGATGCTAGGTGAGGTCCGAGCTGCAGCACAGATACGTCTCCACTGGTGCTGATTAGCAAGGTTGTTTGCTTTTGACCAGCATATGCAAGAAGGGGAATTCCTTGCAATTGAGATTTTATTGGGAAGATTACAATCAAAGTCACATTGCAAAAAATCTCAAAGAAATGGCACTGGGGTTACAATCAAAAAATCTCAAAGAAATGGCACTGGGCAACAAAGGTGGAAAAGCCAGAAAGTAAGAGCAATAATAAGAGTAATATTTTTGGGGGAATAGCATTTCCTCTTCTGTATGGAATCAGCATGAAAACTATTCGGTACTGAGAATTTGCCCTAATTCTAATATTTGTGACCATTTACCAAAATAAAGAGAAATAAAAAGTCCCTTTCTGAAAGGAGGGAACATCTGCTAATGAATTCTACGTGCTATTCCAAACAGACAAAGATTCTTCAGTCCTTTTTCCATTTGGGGAGAAAATTCTGATAGGCAGAGAAGGAAAACAAGCTAGTGTGTCTAAATTAATCACTGTCTGCATTTTGCGCATGTGCTTTTGTCGGCTGTTTAGGGACTTGCAGGAGATTCTGAGATTTTTGTTAGAAGTCATATAGAGCGCTTGTATGAAAGAGCATGTTGTGCTACTTGGAGAAGTACTGCTCCTCTTTTCTAGTTAGTGCCTACCTATGTATCTTTACCTCATTGGCACATCCCTTGAACTTGCTAACCTTTCAAAAGTATTTTTAAAAAGTGGTTGTATAATTACTAAGAAAAGTATAGCTGGATTTCTCAGAAGATTCTTCCAGAGCCATAGGCACCATCCTCATCCCTTTGCCGATCCCACTGAAGGTAGCGTAAGCAGTGAAACTGCAGATTTTCAGGTATTGCTGAAATGGCTTTTTCCCACACTTGAGATGATTGTTCCAACTTGCAGAAGACTTCCAGAAACGTGATTAATAAAACATCACTTCTTAAGGTTTTGATTTAAATTATTATCCGTATATCTTCTCTCAGGGATTCCACTCGTATGAACCCATGTTCATCATATCTCTTAAATAGCAAGTTTGTCTGTAACTGTGCTGGTACTTGGTTTCTCACTAGCCTTAGCTTAGAATATAAGCAAAGAAGCTGTGTTGTATCCTATTCAGATCCTTCTTGCTCTTGGTGACTCCAAGATGGAAGAGTTTAGCATCGATGCTCCTTGCTTCAAATGAGTTATGTGAAACACTTTAACTGAGTTTGTCAATTAGTTAACTTAGGTAAACGTTCCTCGCCTTCCTCCTTAAGATGTAACTTTTAGTGATACTTTTTCATATTCCTTACTATGAAATACCTCCATTCAGAGTTTCCTACTTGAAAGAACTCAAATCTAAAATTCACAAAGTTCAGCAAGTTGGCAATGCCAAATGCTTATTCTTCTACCAGTGCTATATGGTCAGGACAGTGGCTGTTGCTTCTTGTTATGAGAAGATCTGGAATATCAGCATCAGGAGTTTCTAGACAAGTCCAAATTCTATTGGAGACCTTTAAAAACTATTATAGATTCTTCAATAATAGGATGGAATCGGCACTCTGAAACTTCCAAGTTCCAGCATACCTCTAAGTTCCTGAGGTTCTGGAAGAAAACTGCCATTACTGTACGTACTTCTAACTTGTGTCCATTTTCCATTACTCCAGCCTCTAAAATCATTCAGAGTTTTGTGCATGTGTATTTATACTGACAAGATCAACAGCAAGGGAGAGTCAGTTCATCTCTACGAGATGAGGAAGCCAGATATATCTGAGTCTCGCATACACAGTGTCTGATTGCACTGCTAGTTTTCACCTTTCTGACTTGCAGAAAGTCAGATATTTAGGGAAGAGCCATTAATGTTCTCTCTGAACCACAGGGCATGACAACAGCTTTCTCCTAAGTTGAATTGTTTTTTATATGATACAATAACAAATGCCACAAACTATGTCACAAACATCTAGATATGGCAAATGCCTTTTCACTTAATACCCATGATACTCAACATATTAAGAAAACTGAGGTAAGGGACCAGTCCCCTTGCATTCTGTCTAGATCAGTCTCACTGAATCAGGTCTATATCCTGCACTCTGGCTCGGCATCCTTTCTAGCTCACAACCTGCCCACTGGCTGGATGATGGAAAAAAATACAAAAAAAGCATCGTCTGCCACAGTCTGAAATGTTTTACTCCAAAACAGGAAACAGCTGAGCAGACTGACATCCAAGCAAGTTTCAGGATGTTTTCTCTCTGGGAAGTTCAGCAGCTACTTTCACTGTTGACAGATCTAGTTTCTGAAACACTGACCTCTCTGTTTTCCCCGGAACAATGCAATTGCCTTTCCATCCCAAAGAAATGTTCAGAGCGTGTGTTAGCTCTTTTACATCCAAAACAACTCCATCTTCTCTGGTCCACGCACTGCTCTCCGAAAAGTCAAGAGACCATCTTCCCTTCCAGTTTGGGCTGAATTTGGGGGTTCCTATTCAAGCCTATAACGACTGCTATCCTTAGCATTTAAATAAGAAAACTGCATTTCTAGTAATTATCACGTCAGCTGCAAAATAAACACCTCATGAAAGCCCTCCAGCTTGGTCTTCCACCCTTTCCTCCATGTTTTTTCTTGAGACTATTATTATATTATATTAGTAAACTAACCTCGGTCAGGACAGTCTGAACACTGTCCCGTGATCATTCTTAGTGTGAAAGAGTTAGCACATTTCGGTGAAAGTTTTGGGCCTGAACCAACGCTCTCCCAAAAAACTCCTGTGCACAATCTGGAGTCCATTGCCAATAGAAAGTTTGCGTTCAGTCACTCTCTTTCAGGCTTTCTAGTGCCTTCACATGAACAGGTTGTAGACCATGAGCTAAGAGGATTCACGAGCTGACTAAAGCAGTGAGTGCCACGACCTGCACACTGCCCACTCAAGTTGCTGGCTAAGGTCAGCTATAAAGTCCATGCTGCTTACAAGGAGTTGTGCATGCGGTATCTGCTCAGAGCACTCTTGGCCCAGTCTGTACCCGCTCTGCTCAGATGATGTGAATGAGAGTGTGGACCGATACTCTTGTGCCAGGAGTGCTCACCTTGCAGAGCACTTCAATCTGAAGTGGGAATATGCTTACTGTGGGCTAGGTGCTTTACAGTGTGAGGGGTAGTGACTCTTGGGTCTAGTCTGTCACTTCCGTGGTTGGGGTTCCTAGAAGGCACGGCAGTACAGAGATGAATACAAGTATACCCGAGATACTAATCGTATCTGATATGTCTCTGCAGACACAACTCAGATGTGCGCTGAAGATAAAGACAATGATCTTACTCCTCCACTTGAGCACTGTATTAGGACAAAGTAAGTAAGAGCTAAAATTTTCACACAGATATTTTCAGTTATTGATAAACATATAAGAGTGGACTGTTGTAAAAAGTAAATATTGCAACAGGTAATCCTGTAAAATTAGTGGTTAATAATTAGACCGGGTATCAGTGGCTGTGATATATATTACACATTTTCTTGTGTTATTATTGTAATTAACCACAAACTTTCTAACACATTCAATTGACTCTTAGGGGCACCGTTGTTACATCATGAAAGCTGACTCAGTTAAAGTCAATTTGAGAACTCAACTCGATTTCAACAGGTCAGAGTTTAGATAGCCAGTAGTGATTGGTTCCTGTTGTGAGGATATAATGAGAAGTGGGGAAAAATTCTTCCATCTTCATCAGTCTTTCCTAAAAGCTAGAAATGCACTAAGGGGCATGGGTACCATTTACAGGGCATGAAGCCCTGTGCTCAAAAGCTTCAGTTTGCTCATACTGCCCATGTGTCCATGAGCACCGGAAAGCTCCTCAAGATCACAAAACACAGTGTTTTTAATGTTTTGCTAGGCCATCGTTGACAGTTCTTAGGTCATATTCTCTCCTTAAATACAAGGCCAATTCCTGTGATGTTAAGATTTTCATGACCATTTTGCAGTCTCTATGGTATTAAATGCTGGCCTTCTAAGAAATTTCGCCAAGTCATGCTGAAATTAATGGGAGCGTTTTTCAGTTACTGTAGTGAGACATGAAGGAAGCGTAATGGGGAAATTTTGCTAGATAAAAAGATCAGCTTTGTATCAACTCCAGGAGCAGGACTTTGAAAGCTGCTCTCTGCATATCTTTGGAGCAAGAAGTAAAAGCCTCATTGTCAAAGCCCGTAACATTTGTTCAGTCAGCAAGCCAAGCAGCTTCAGATTTCTCCTGTCATTTCCCTCATCTCCCTGGCACATTTTTTCCTGTTATTAAAAAAAAAAAAAAAACAACAACAACAAATGAGGACACTGGCTGCCAAACACTGTGTAGGCATTATGTAGTTACAGAAGTAGAAGAAAGTAGAGAAAGCAGTAGAGGCATCCTGTAACATGACAACAGTGATATTAGTCCAGGCTCCCTGCTCATATATATTGTATTGGTTCCTCCATTCCAGTGAAACATAAGCATGACTGTTTACAGATTAAGATAGATAATATGTAGTCTCAGAAACTCTACACAATGATGAGGTGAATAGTGCATGCAACTTGAAGTCGGTGTTAGAATAGCTTCCATTCCTGGCATGGCATCAAAGCTGCGCACAGTTTTCGTAGCGGTGATGTTTGTTTATTTTAAATTATCTGCTTTAATCTTTTGGAGAAGTAAATTACCAGCAAATACCAGTGTCAGTTTATTTTGTTTGTACCATTCACAGGACTATCTGATTTACTCTGATCAGTCTGGCTTCTTGTCTGGATCTCTTCAGTATTCTCCATTTTCTTTGAACTTACGTATTTGAGCGTGGCCTTGCTATTAAAGGCTTTTCATATTACATTTTTCCTTCTTTTTTTTAAGAACTTTTTCTGCCAACTATGAGACAGTATATACAGAAAAGTAAAAATAAACCAAACTAAGTAACTTGTTAACAAATTGGGAGGCACGAAAGTAATGTTTCATATCATATAACCATGGAAAATATCCCTATTTTTTATTAAAACAAACAAATGAACAAACAAAAAGCAAACAGCAGCCATTAGTCCTTTTGATCAAGCATTCATAATGAAATTCCTTACTAATCCTTTCTCACCAACAAGCAGGATAATTTCTCGGGAACCGTGGAGAATTTCACGGCCTGAACAATCAGAACTGAGGAGTTTAACTGTAGATTCTAAATTTTAATTGAGAATTTTCTTTTCTTTTTTCTTTTCTTTTTTTCACATTACTCAGGTCTATTTTAATCCATGAAAAGCCTTACCAATTGTTTATCCTAGTGCCTGAACACCGTCCCATAGTGCATTGAGTTATATGCCTAACATCTGTCTGATGTTTGTTTTATTCTTTTCCAAAGGGAGAACTGCACATGTAATAGAATATTTCTATATTTAGATTTTGTTTTTCATTATTAATATTATTATTAGAGGAGAAGAGTTGTTTTGCTTCTGCAAATACTTTTTTTTTTTTCCCTGCTCATGCTTTTAGTCCTTATATTGCAAAATACCAGTTTTGAGGTTTGAGGTTAAAAAGCTGACACTTCACAGGGCTAGAACTAGTCACCAGCAGGTATTGCTTCAACCTGCAGGCTCCCGACCAAAGAGTCAGTGCAAGCACATGTCTTTTTTTACTGTGGCTTTCAGTTCTAGACATCTGTGCAAGTAGTCAGATTCTGACCAAAAGATGCGTGGAATGTGCTTCCCTCGCTTGTTTGGGAGATGCCGTGCAGACTTCTTTATTCCATTCTCCCCTGAAGAATACTCTTATATCACAGTCACAATCCTTAACCACTGTCTCCACTGGCGGAAATAACATCTGTTAGCCCTGCCTGAGGGGAATAAAACTTTGATCTGACTTTATATCTAAATTCAGCAACGTATTTTATTAACCCTCTAGTGTCAGCTTTCCTCTGTGGTAGTGGGGCTGTGTGATACATAGTACGTCTGTTTGCCTTTGAAGTGAGACAAATGGAGATTTGGCGGGTTAGAGGAGAAGAGAGTATTCAGGCATTTCAGCCTGAATTATTGGTATGCTCTGCAACAATAGCAAATGACTACTACAAGAAATACTCTCTGAATGTTATCGCAGACTGAGTGTTCTTCAGGGCCTGAACCAGTTCCTCTTAGGTTCAATAGAAGTATTCCCATTAACTTCCATGACCTTTGGATGTGGTTATAATTGAACCAGATGAGGCAAATGTTTCTTTTTTTATTGCTAATCTGATAAATTATAATTGAATTAGCAACAAGAATCTGGGTTCTGTTTGAATTGCCCTGTGGCAGGACAGTGTGGCAAAATGATCACAACGCATTGTCTAGATCATTTTGTTTATGTCTGTAAAGAAAACACTTGTTCAGTGTTCGTGAGGTCCCTGACTGTTTGACACCTTCTTTGTGCAGTTTCATTGGGTGAAAAAAGTTCTGAGGTTCTCTCTATTGGGGCAAACAGCCAAAGGCTGTTTTTCGGTCTATAAATGGCTCAAGAAAAATAGTTGAAAAACAAATACAGAGGATCAGGCTTTGTATGAAAGTTACCTTGAGTTCTTTTTCAGAATATGTTTTTCTGCTTAAGCTCCTTATTCAAAACCTATTTTAAAAAAGGCCAGTTCTTCACTGCGTAATGATCAGCAATATCTTAAGCCATAGCAGCAAAAATGGTGTCAGCAGCAGTGATGCGTGTTACTATTTTCGCAGAAGACAGTGTATCCACAGACCAGATTTGATTCTGTGTCATTTAGCCTTTGCTGAGCCAAGGATTCCTCTCAAAGCTTTAATCATCCTAGTGAGATAGAAGATGGTACCTTGGGAAGGCTGTACACAAAGATAAAGGATGGTTTGATAGCATTACCAGAAAAATCCAATGGGGATAGAATGTGAACCACAGGAAGTTCCATCTGAACCTGAGAAAAAGCTTCTTCACTGTGAGGGTGACAGAGCACTGGCACAGGTTGCCCAGAGAGGTAGTGGAGTCTCCTTCGCTGGAGATATTCAAAACCCGTCTGGACGTGATCCTGGGCAATATGCTCTAGAGGACCCTGCCTAAGCAGGGAGGTTGGACTAGATGATCTCCAGAGGTCCCTTCCAACCTAAACGATTCTGTGATTCTGTGATTCTGTGAAGACTGTACTTCCTACTTGCATTTGGTTGTTGTGTGGGCAAAGTGATATTCTGAACCTCTGGAAGAGGTAGCTTTCAGCACTGGAAAATACCGGACTAAGCCCAGCTAGAGCATGTTCCGTTTTTAGCTCAAGAAGTGAGGTATCACCATTGTTAATTCCTGCTAAACCCAGGCATGAGGACAGTTTTTATACCTTTTTTTTCACGTTGTTAGCAAAATCAAAAATGGAAAGAATATTCTGCAGAAAAAGTAAGGAAAAAATTCACAACAGCCCAATTTTTCCATATCAGTTTACTTCTGATTTTGCTGTGACTGCTTGGAGACTGAAAAAGATCCCTCAGGTGGTCACTTCCCTTAAGACCCTGAGTTGAACACTGTGTGGATTCAGCTTTTGGTTTTGTTTTTCACTTAACTTACTCAAGAAAAGGACTGATCTGTCAAATCCCTGCTGACAAATCCCTTCCTCGGTGACAGAAAGAATGTGGCTTGCACTCTGGCACCTCACTTTTGTCCCCACCCCCTCACAGATGTCTTACTACCGTGCTCCTGAGCTCTGAAACAGATTTTTCAAACCTGATCTAAATAGTCAACGCTGGGAATGCTGTTGAGTTTAATTCTCAGAAGATCTGGAACATGAACTTGCAAATACAAGAAATACCATGGACCAGAGTGCCATTCATGTAATGAATGACTCTAACTATACAGTGAGTTGACTCACTTCAACCCAGCAAGGTCGTTGGAGAGACTTATCCTGGTTTCACTGGGTCTTGGTTCACCTCGGCATCTTCCACCATACCTTGAAGGCACATTTGGTGGCAAATGCAGGATGGATAACTTGTTTACCCTCACAGTGTTGGTCACAGTCCTAGAGCAGGCAGCTGAGCAGTAGCAGCTGATAGAGAGCCAAGAAGTAAATCTTCAGTGTTATTCTGAAGAAAGAATGAGGGCAGAGAAAAAGCAAAACAATACCATAGAGAAAGCAAAACCATGTCATTGAAGTGTGCCACTGAATATTTCAAAGGAACCAAAGGCAGGAGCAAGGATAGCAGCTAAATGTCAGCTAAAGTCATCTGGTCTCAGGGTCTTAGAGCCACACAGCTCCTAGCCAGAGGCCTGTCTGTTTAGGACTGTGCAAATTGCCTAATAACGGCTAAGAGACTGAGCATTCTGGTTATAGAGGGTTAATTCTCATAACTGCTTTGGAGATTCCCTACAGTCTTTGTAAAGCTGAGGTACCTGTTCTGAATCAGCTGCTGCTGAGAACTCTCTATTGCCTAGAAAAGACTAGAATGAGTGTAAGGACACGGACGTCCCAGCTTGGGAACCAAAACAGTGGGTGAGAGTACCTCACTTCCCTTTCTTGCCCTTGGAGAAGATGTAAGTAGTTACCCCAAGTGAGTCCCTCCAAAACTCTAGGGTAGTTTATTTTAGAATTGTTGGATTACCACTCCAATCACCTGATTAACTGACGGATGTGAAACGATTGCTTTCCTTTCTAGATGGCACGGAGCTGTTATTGACTGGAACGGCACAGAACCAATCTTGTGACTGACCTGACCTGCACTTTATTTGTAAAGAAAAAAAGGAAATGACTGAATTAGCACGTTCCCATTCCCACCATTACAGGAAATAGGACAAGAGTTACGCAGTTTATGATGAGGAAGAACGGCATGGTGGTGTGCAGCATTGAAGAGGTTCACCTCATGCTTCAGATATTTTGCTTATAATATAAACAGCATTTACATAAACTCTTGGTCACTGCCTTTATTATACAGTTTCTGAGAGCAGATTGAGCTTCCACTGCCAAATCAAGCTTGCAGATGAAGCTGTAAAGTTGTCAGCGTCCTTTTGAGGTCTGTTTCTGGATCTACTCTGTATCCTGCAATTGTTTCCAAAAATCTGATGAAAGGAACTGCACCGAGATTTCTGTCACTGTCCATGCCTTCTCAGTCCTGACTAGTTCTTCACCTAAAAAACTCCAGAATAAATATAAAGTGTCATTCAAGAGATATATATTGACTTCTTTCTCTGATATTAGCAACTCTCATTTTGCACTGAAAGTATTAGTAGCCATATAGGCTTTTTAGCTAAAGCCTGACTTACACAAAATTATTGCAGTCTCATAAAATTTGCATTAAAGCTTGTGGTTTTGTGTTATCAGAATAATAGTAATACTACGTTCCTTATACTGGGTGCAATTGTGCGATGTGTTACGGTGCCTCACACTGATGTAGCTTATTTTCCTTTCTGGATGAGAGAAAGCTATACCAGTGTCTTTACTTTTATATCAATGTAATACTAGAATTTATTTATACCAAAGTTCTGGATAAGTTCTGTGGTGGTTTGCTTCTCCACAATTACAAGAAAACACAAAAGCTTAAGACTTGACATTTAGAGGGTGCATATTTGTGGTAGAAACTGTTCTTCATTATTAAATAAAGTGGATGTATGAAAAGAGTGTGATGTGAAGATGTATTTGGAGGTACCAAAACAGGTTATATTCGGAAATGAATTCTTTAAGTGATACATTTTAGCAACACTTTACCAAAATGGGAACAAGTTACTCAACCAAAGATTGGAAAAAATACTTTGGAAAAAATGATTTCTTAGTGGAAAGGTTGCAAATAAATGATGTGCCTATAGTTTATTCCTCCATCTTGAGAGTGAATATCTCGCGAGAGTTCAATAAAGGACTTTTACTTTTTGATTTTTATCATAGCACCTTCTTACTAACCTTTATGCAAACCCCTCTGAGCCCAGACTATCTGCTATTTTCAAAATTTATTTCCACTAAAAGATACAGTATCCTACTCTGTATAGCCTAGAGATGTCAAGTTGAGTAGGTAAATACAAATCTCTGGCAGTTAGCACTCCAGCTAGGTTTGGAAGCCAACCTGAACATAACTACCAGAGTACCAGAATAGAAATGGTTTCAGTTTAGATAGTCTTTTTGAATAAACCCCTGCCTCCTCCTTTACTTCCCATTCACATCAAACTAGTCAGACAGTCTTTGAATAAACATCTCTCTCCTACTTCGGTTCCCATTCTCATCAAACTATCTATATTTACTGAAAGCATCTCAGAGTGTCAGTCATTTTAAAGTTGTTTAATTCAATGTAATGTAATTTTATTTTATTTGTCTTAGATCAGTTAGGCAGAGTTTTGTCTTTAAACTTTATGAGATAAAGGTCCTCCATTCAACCTTGGAGACACGGGCAGCATCTTAGCCCATTCCTGACTCTGCCTCAGGAATATTATATGGCCTTTGGCAAACCCTTTTATCTCTGTGAGTTTAAGGGCATGTTTGTATCATGGGCTCAAGACTGCCTTTTTAGATCAGGTTCACTCATCATCTCAGCTATTCCCCACTAAGAGATTGTGTCAGAGTTCAGGGTAATTCAGGGTAATTGCATCCTCAGAGTTCCTGTGAGTGGGAGATCCCAGACATCAAAAGATCCCAGGTCCAAAGCTCTCTTATGTGTCCTGGAAAATCACAGCTAATCATGGCTGAATGTGGTTCCACCAGCTTGTGGTAAACCTTTACTCCTCTTAAAATTTCTGTGAACTGTAGCCCATGCTTTGTTTCATGTTGCAATCAGAGTCTGATTTTCCCACTTACCTCACAGCGCAGCTGTAAGGAAAAATCAGAATATGCAGAATGTATTTGACCCTTGGACAGAAGATAGTATAGCGATAGAAATATGATGGAAAATTTTGGGATCATGTGTAACACAAAAAATTCCTCCCTGGATTTTCTCATTTAGTAAACCCACACCAGTTAAAGCAGTGCTTTGAAGTATGTCAATTTGGAGATGAACTTCCATTCCCTAGTGGAAGAGCAGCAAAGATAAGTGTTTCTCTGGGGAAGCAAGGAGCTGCCTTATGACAGGTCTGAGTTTCATCTGAGTGAAATGTCAATGTCTACGTGCAGATGTATTCAGAGGAGCTGTTTCTCTAGGCTTCCTTTATAGCTGGCAAGGAGAAATAAGCCACCTTAGGGTGTGAGTCATCAAACCTTGGTTTGACATTTACTTTAGGGTGAGAAGAGTTGTGCACCAGACTGTAAGGCTATATGCTGAGCAGATCTCTACTGACAGAAGGGAAAAGAAGTCCAAGGTGATTGCATCAGATGAATTTCATTTATGAGGACATGAGGGTTTTTCAAGGTATGGGAAAGAGGCAAAAATTAGTGAATAGGGCTAGGAAATAGACTGTGTTTTATAGCAAACCTTAGAGGACGAATAAAGATGAGGGTATGCCCTGATCTCTGAGCCTCTTTCTAAAATAGGCTCCTTCATCACAGATTATGGAGAGTATTTTACTGAAACTTACGCCTCTGTTATCACAGAATCCAAGAAAGTCAGATCTTTCTTATCCCTTATCTGTAATTATGCCCATGTATATTTGTTCTGAAAAGTCCACTGTCTATCTATCATCTGTTTAAGCTGAACACCTTCCAGATTCAGCTCTGACTTCACTCACAAAGGCAGAAATAAATGTGCATAGACCGTGTCACCAAATAACTACATGTGCGGGATGAGTCTCACCACCAAGCTAGAGCAAGGAGAAGCTCAGCATTACTAAGCCCTTTCTACCCTACTTGCTTTTGGAGCATAGAAGCAGTAATTTCCTTCTCCAGGGCTCAATATTAGTGTCCTTATTAGGCAAAAGAGATGGCTCTTGAGATTTACTAGGGGATCCTTCCATAAAGAGGAAGAGGGCAACTGAAACATTAATTTAGATCTAGTTCTGCTGAAAAAAACAAAACAAAGCAAACAAACAATCAAGCAAAAACAGCATTATATGTGTCACTGTCTGCATCAAGCAAAATGTTTGCACATTTTTATTTCATGTAAAATACAAGCGGTTATTCACCTTCACAGACCTTTTTTGAATCAAACAATCAGAGAAGGCCACAGTATGTTATATGGCAACGTAAGAACCTTTACAGAGATCTGTGCACGATCATATCCTGTTCCAGCAGCTTGCATCTAGTTTTTTAAATATGTTTTCCTTTTCATTGTTTCCCATTTTCTTTTTCACAATCTGACGAACGTGACTTCCTGAAATTAACGAAGCAGAAACTGTTTGGTAACTGTGCATTAAAACATACTGGGTAATATTTGTTATTTGGGCTCTATATATGGCTTGATTTCATTCTCTTTCCTTCTGTGGTATTACAAATACACCCTCTGCTGAAAATTGACCCCTTAGCTGACAATAAGCATGGCATATTGTATATGCAGATGAATATCTAAACAGACATGCTCTTATGGTAAGGTGTCATATATGTCACCTTTGTGAGAAATTTATATTTAACTTTGTCTTGTACAAAATGTCCTGTCTAAATAAAACATTTAGAGCAATGGTAATAGTAAAATCGCAGATTCCTCCTCACTGTTTTAATAATTCACTTGCTAGTGGAAATTAATTGGAGATACTAGACTATAAATGCTTCATGGGCCTCATTAGTTCAGTGGAATAGTAATGAAAAGTTAAACCTCCTTCTTCTGTGAGTGGAACCATAGTATAGTGCTGGAGGCAGCTGAGAAGCAGTAGAAAGCCCACGCTGAGCTCGGTGGTGTTACACTTACACAGTTATAGGTGGTTATGCCAACTGCTCTGAAACTAGTTTCAAGTGTGAGGTGCCATCTGACTCCATGTAGACATGCCCACTGTCTTCTGTTTGAAACCTACCCAGGATGGTAGTGGATGAGAATGGCAAAGATCTAATCGGCTAATTTGAAAGGAGGGGAAGTGGTCACTTCAGAGATCAGAGGAAAGCTGAAGAGCCTGGAAAAATGACACAGCTTTAAGCCAAGTTTTTCAGAAGTGATTATTGGTTTAGGGGCTCGAAAGGTTCAATTACTGAACCTGAAAGACTTGTAGTAGGTCAGATTTTCTGATGGTGGCTGGGACCTCCAGTACATGGGCCTCAAATCACTAGTCATTTCTGAAAACCTTCGTGCCAGTTTCAGAAGGAGTTTCTGAAGGCGGCACTTAGAGTGCCTACCTGATTTGGGGTGTGGTTATGGAAGCTTATTGTGACATAAGCTATAGATTTACACACAAGCTATAGATTTACATAATGTGTCAGCTGCCTGCGTGGATTTTCCTAACCCAGGGTAAGTTTACTAAGGAGGAAACTGCCTGGAATTTTACCAGACCTGATATGTGAGCAGTTATGGTGGATCAGGTGATAAAAAGTAAATTACACCAAAGTTTGTCTTGCAATAATTTATTTCTGCAGTGAATGATTGTAGAAACCTAAATTGCATTGTTTTTGCATTATTTTGGTTTTGCTATTGATCAGTAAGATCTAGTAGGAAACACAGAGGTTTAGCCATGGAAAGAAAATGATATTGCTCCTACATGCCTCTATGACCTAGGGCCCAGCCTGCTACATAACCTAAGGAAAACTCATCCCATTAGGAACATTTTGTGTATATTAGCGCCCTTCATCTATTTGTTTTCATTGGCTGAAAGCTAACGAATCCAACATTACCGCTGAAATAAGGAAGCAGTTTCTCCTTAGCAGCTTTGTTTATAAAACAAGACAAGGAAAAAGCACATTTTCAGTCACATATTTTATTTGTCCTTTCGGCCAGGGTGGGTTGGGATTGTTGCTACAGTGGAAAGCAACCTATTTTTGTGATGTCCCACGTTTACAATAGCTATTGACTGTATCAAAATTGAAACAAGCATTGAATAAAAAGAGAAAAACCCCTCTCAGGTATGTATTATGGTGTTTCTTGGATAAATTTTCTTAGGCAAATTGGCAGTCCAAGATTTCAAGTTTCATTTGCTTTTTCATTTATTTGATGGAGTTACATTAGACAGCAACAGTTGACATAACATGCAAGTTGTGCTTAAAGGCAGAATTCTTTACTGTTCAAAAGAATAAGTAACATTGAGACCTTTGCTATACCCTCAAAGTAAAGCATGGTTTCCTTGAGCTCTGGCTCTTGGCATCAAGGTGAATTTCAGCCAGTGTGTGGTTTCCCTGGCAGCGTACATAGTACGTGCTAGGCCGCACCTGTTACATAGCAGATCCTTACATCTGCCCGGGTTAAGACGTTTCACAGCAACTCATGGATCTGAATGCTTCAATTTTCAAGGCCTATTTGGGAAACCTTAGATTATTTACGATGGTGGTGTCCTGAGCTAGCTACAGACAGGTTGATATGAGGTGGTCCAGTGCGGAGACTAGATCCACATACTCAGAGACAATACATATGGAAGCACCATTGTGACATTAATATTGCTCTGAAGCTAAGTTAATAAGTAAGTCCTCATTCTGTAATCAAGTCTAATTGGCTCAGATGCAACAAGGCTAATGGGTTCAGATACAAAACTGATTTAATTTTCACAGCTGGCTCATGCATTGCTTGCTGAGAGATGTTTGTAACATATTCTGGTTGCCTGATATAGCCCTGCCAATAAAGGAACTGGCAAGTGTTGAGCATCCACAGTCCCAAAATAAAAGGTCTTTACATGTCTGGAAATGGGCACCCCAAACTGGAAGCTTCCAATGTTGTCAGGTATTTTTGGCAATCTTGCCTGCCAGATTCATAGTAGTGATTCTGCTCAGGCAGCTTCTAGCTGTAGGAGGTAGGATCCATGTAATCTAGTCAGAGGTGTCTACAGGACAGGTTTCTCTGTGTGAACTAGCAATCCAGGACTTCCTTTACAGCCACTGATGAGAAATAGGCACTATATGGGTATGAGTCATCTGACCTGCTTTTGGTACCTACTGTAGGATGAAATGAATTGCACTTTTCACTTCCCTGACTGCTACTGACTGGATTTTCACTGATTATATTGGTTATAGGGAGGCTAGAATAAATGAATCCTATTGTATAGGAACAATAAAGGCAGAAAAGAAGACGAGTGTGTTTATAGACCCATGTAATCGACAGAACAAGTGAATGAGCTGGTGAGTTACAGATTCTTCTTGGCTGTGCTGCACCATTCTTAGCTCTGTCTTCCACTTCCCAGCTTTTAGTTGTGAGCTAGAGAAACATCTCTTTGTGAAAGAAATCATAGGATTTAGCAGCAGGAACTTGCCAGCATTTGAAGAAGGACCTGCTGATAAAATTAGATTGCTCAAGTGGGAACACGGGAGGCATATTAAAGTTGAGATTTTGTAAGCAGAGATTTCTTGTATAACTGTTCCGGGCCTGTGTCTCAATCCTAAATCCTGACAAAACACCCAAGATACCAATACCTTATGTGAGTGTTCTGCTTATTTTCTTATCATTATCTTATCATTTGGCAAGGACTACCAAATTAATCTGGAAAATATTCTGGGCATTTGTAAAAATACTCTGTGCACTGGAATTCAGCAAATATTTATTCATTGACAAAACACTGGCAAAGAATGTAAGACCAGAAAAAAAGGTTCAACTCCTCTCTGTGCAATATACAAAGAATATAAGGTTAAAAGTTACATTCTGCAAACATACCTTTTGCTGAGATGTACTTGGTTTACTAAGTGTTGTGGATATGAGCCAAGGTCTCCAGACCTCGAATTCTGTTTCATTACTGTAAGGAGCATGGAAAAATATAGCTTCTGGCTAAGGGAAGGGAGTGGTTCACAGTCTTTACAAGGGCAAGAAGAAAGGCTTCTATAAGTACATAAGCAGCAAAAGGAAGGCTAAGGAAAGCATAAGCCCGCTACTAAATGGGGCAGAGGCTTTGGTGACAAAAGACACCAAAAACACAGGTACCAGATGCCTTTTTCACCTCAGTCTTTACTGATAAGACTGGCCTTCAGGAATCCCAGGCCCCTGAGAAAAGAGGGGAAGCCTGGAGCAATGAAGACCTACCTTCAATGAAGGAGGATCAGGTTAGGGAACACTTTAACAAACTGGACATGCACAAGTCCTTGGGTGCTGACTTTCTAAGGCTTTTGACGCTATCATCTCCCATAAGAACCTCATAGGCAAGCTGATGAAGGGCAGGCTAGATAA